AATACATTAGCAGTGAGTTATGAGTTATACCATGTGCCTATATAGCACACCCTAACTATGGTCCACAGATGTGCTGGTGGCCACTAGAAGACCAGTGGAGAGGTTCCAGGACCTATCAACCGAGGAGGTGGGAGATCTGTTCCACTGTGCACATCGGGTGGCCCCTGTCATCAGCAGGATATTTGGTGGCACCAGTCTCACCATATCAGTACAAGTCAGTGTGAAATAATAATGTGATCTCCACGACTCTACTGAGGATAGTTTGTGTGTGTGTGTGTGTGGGATGGACCAGATGCAGGGCAGACAGTGAAGCAAGTTCACGTACACATCATCCCTAGAGACTTGGTTCACCTCTCACTCCTAACTCTCTCTCTCTCTCACTCTCTCTCTCTCTCTCTCTCTCTCTCTCTCTTCTCTCTCTCTCTCTCTCTCTCTCTCTCTCTCTCTCTCACACACACACACACATCTGGGACATGAGATACAGTGTAATAGACTGGAAATCTGGTGGCAATGTTTTACGTGTCCTGTTTTCGTGGTGATATTGCCAAATTCAAGTGCTGCCAACAATATCCTGTGAGGTAGAATGCCTCACCTCAGGTATATACTGGGGCGTTTTACTCTTCGACAAACGACTTAATTTCCCAGTGATTGACAAACAACTTGTGTTCTGTCTGACTGCAAACTTGGGCTGGTAGTTTTGCTGTGTGGGTTTTTACTTCATTTACGACTACACGAAATATGTTGATATTCTTATCCCTGTGCCACATGTGTGTCTGTCATCAACACTAGATTTACCTCTCTTCCCCCTCTCTCTCACCCTCCTCTCTCTCTCCCTCTGCAGATATCTGGAGTGCAGGGTGTGTGTTTGCAGAGCTGCTACTGGGCCAGCCCATCTTCCCAGGTGACAGTGGAGTCGACCAGCTGGTGGAGATTATCAAGGTCCTCGGGACGCCCACCAAGGAGCAGATACGACAGATGAACTCCAACTACACTGAGTTCAAGTTCCCTCAGATCAAGGCCCACCCCTGGAATAAGGTAGTCAACATAATATGTGACCCTGCACAAACACTCAATGGCTAGCAAACACGGACATTTCGAAATTTTTTCGCTTATTTAGAATCACATCATTACGATGTGTGCAGTGTGGGTGGCATACATACCAATGAATAAACCTGCATTCAAACGACTAGGTGTGGTCTTTTTGACCCAGTCTGTTGCCCACGGTGGAGATGGAGTGACCTTTGAACCTCTCCTTGACTGGCAACAAACATCAATCAGCTGGCTCTTAAGAGGGCGGAGTCTGGCCCCATGACTCCACCCTCACCTTCCAGCTGAAACACACTCTACGATACCTCCAGTAGCAAACGCCAAGCACAAACTTTGTTGAATGTGACACGGAAAGATTGTAGAACAACCCAACATTGTTGAGTCTCGAAAACAAGCACCATCTAGAGCTTCAAGTTGTATTGGTATATATGTACAACATCTCTCTCTCTCTCTCTCCAGGTGTTCCGACCACGGACCTCTCCAGAGGCCATAGAGCTGGTGAGCAAACTGCTGGAGTACACGCCAGGTCTGAGGGCCAACCCCATGGAGGCCTGTGCACATGGCTTCTTTGACGAGCTGCGAGAGCCGGGGAAGACCCTCCCATCAGGACGATCTCTCCCTCCTCTCTTTGACTTCACCCAGCAAGGTACGCATCACCCTACAAGGTACAATCACTATGTTGTATGCATGCTATTAAGTAGGTATGTAGTTAATAAAGAGGGTTTAACTGTCTCAGTTCATGCCTTATTATACCGAATCAGGTTACATTTTCAGAAAATCACATGCTGAGATTTACAGCTAGCTGTTAGCTCATCTGTCTCTCTCCTCACAGAGCTGGCAATCCGACCGTCTCTACAGTCAGTCCTACTGCCCTCCCACATACAAAGGGGGCGGAGTCTGTCAGCAAAGTCACACCCACTTCCTCCTCATTGGACACTGAACAGGCTTCCTCGTCAACCACTCAGCACTAGCTCTAGCCCTCTCGTCTGCTCTCTCTCTCTGTCTGTCTGTCCATCTTTGTGTCTGTAACCATGCAGCCCTCCATAGCAATGCACTCTGCACTTTTGCACTCTGACCTTGCCTATAATGAAACAGGTTTCTGTTTCTCATTATTATTGTAACTTTGTAGAGATTTGTTTTAGTAACCATAGTTCACGTTCATTTCTTTCTCTCCTCATTGTCTCTCTGCTCTCTCCTCTTGCCTGCACCACTCTGCCTGACTCTGTTGCCGTGTTCTATCATGAATTGCATATCTCTGTTGTATATAATATAAGAAAATGATGACTTGTACATTTCTAAGACTGAGGTAAACACCTGCATTTTGAAGCACAGCAGTACACCCATCTCAAGCTTAATAGTCAATTCGTTTCCGGCTTGTTCTGTCAGCGGAGCGATCCGCGAAGGAGGTGCGCACTCGTAGATGCATCTTCGGTACCGCGATGAGGCCGTCTGTTGTTGTCGCAGTGTTGCTCATCAGTTCTTCTATTCCCCTCGTTGCTCAAGGTAAGCTCGAGCTGCACTCATTCACTCCTGACACCCACACATGAAAGTTAGCTGCCATCTCCCTGTAATTTCTTTCTACACCAGAGATTCTCCGTGCTCCTCAGAGTACAACTGTCTTTTAAACCAACCGGTAGTTTTTACATGTGAGACAAGAGGTGGTGTCACTCTATGGATAGTCAATGGAACACAACGAGAAATCCTTTCACTGGAAATACGTAGTGACCTGGTTATCTCAGAAATTACTACTCCTGAAGGTACTACAGTGGATACTCTGACCATCCCAGCCAGATCCCAGTACAATGGAACTAGAGTTCAGTGTCTGTCTGTGATATTTGGTGGCCCCTTTGTGGAGAGTGACAATGCCACATTGACCATTCAAGGTATTAGCTGAAAAGTGTATTATAAGTCAGGAAATTGTTAGCCATTATTTCAGGTCCACTGTCAGCAGTAGGTGAGTTGAGAGCCACCAGCAATGCCAGCTCAGTGACCATCTCGTGGAGTGCTCCATTCTCTCTGGATGTGACTGGTGTTGATCCTGATATCTGGTACTCTGTCCTCATCTACAATGTGACAGATGAGAACAACCCAACAGCCATCCTCTGTACTGACTGTATCAATATCACTGAGACACACTACACCTTCACTCCTGACTACCTCAGTCCTTGTCATGTGTACAACTTCTCTGTCATCCCTCTGAATGGAGCTGGCCAGGGAGAGAGGAGTCAATTTATCTCTGGATATATTTTGAAGTGTGGTTTTGGTATGCACAGTTGCACCTTGCATGTTATTAGGATCAGTGTGCTTGCATAATGGTAGACTTTTCACAAACTACAGCTACTTACTATACTTTATTCTGCAGTTAAAGAGCCTTGCATTGAAGCTGTCTCTAGAAGTGTAAGCAGAGTGACATTTCACATATTGGTAAGTTTCAGTGTTTAGTCTGTGTGTGTATTCTGTGTGAGCAGGAAAATAGTAGGAATGTATACACTATGGAACAAAAAAGATAGACAGCAACACGCCAACCTGTTGCCTATATAGGCCTATCACAACAATACCTTAGAAGTTGCTGTAACTGTTTTTGTTGAAGCAACCAAGTTGCCTCATTTATGTTGGCCTCTAGCAAACAAAACATCTCACACATTAACACTGCAGTTTCTCTTTTTATAGGGATGTATTTGCAGCTACAGAATGACTCCTAAACATGGAGATGGTTGCATCACTGCTGTGTCTCTATCTTTACAAGAACTTGCCTTTGACCTTTGTTCTGATGGAGAATATTCATTTGAAGTTTCTACCTCACCCATTCCTATCAGTAAATAATTTTAATTTCACCCTATATAGAGCTGGTAATGACGTGTTTCTTCTACAGCTACATATGATGTCCAGAGTGCCACAGTTACTAGTGTCAGAGATGATAGTGAGATCATTGTGACTGCAGAGTTCCTCAAAAACACGACAGCCAGAGGATGTTTTGTGGTGCTGCAGTCTGAGAATGAGTCCACTGCTGATGTGTTCAGAGCCTTGCTAAGACCTGGACCTAACACCACCCTGACTAGCACCATCAGTGACACACCATCATCAACATACAGAGCCTTTTTCTATGACCTGGAGGAAGATGGACTCCCTAATAGGAGCCCAGCATATGAACCAAACAACGTCATTACTGTTAATAGGAACGGTGAGTCTATTGCCAATTGAAAATTAATAAACTACTACATTATCTTACAGACGCAGACTCAAATGTAGCATCTAAAGTTTTGAATAATGTGAGTTTAGTCGTCAAAGACTCGGTGGTTCAGATAAGGTGTGAGTTCAAAGAAGGTATAGAGGGAGCCTCATGTGTCCTGGTCTATCGAGAGTATGGTAACAAGACACTAGTGGTGGAGGAATATCCTCAGAACACTGTCTTCCCTGTGACTCTGACTGTTGGTGGAGATCAATACACATTCGCAGTCTTTGGAAAGAGCAGTTTTGATTTAGAAGAAAGACCGATTGTAACAAGAAATGTACACGTAACTAGGACAACCACAACACCACAGACTGAAGTAACCACTTCAGGTATGTTTTGCACCTAGGTGCACAATACCCATTTACTAGGACACGTTTTGGTAAACGAACATTGTATTTCATGAACTGCAGATGAGGAAAGGATAATGGATACGCAAGTTGTTGCCATATCCATAGGTAGGTGGTGTATTATTTTCCCAGAATTACTGTCTTTCTCTCACAGGTACGGCACTAGCAGGAGTTATGATATGTCTCACAGCAGTGTTGGTGCTACTGGTGGTAGTCAGACAGTGCCACACCCACAGGAAGAAGCAATCTGCAGGTACAGTAGGGGTGGGTGTGGTGTGTGACTGTGTGTCATGTGAACTCTCCTCCAGCACCAGTGGCAGTGTATGATGAGGTAGTTCTTCCCCTGACCACCACCTCCTCCATTCCAACTGAGCCGTCTCACACTACTACCATCCCCACTACTGGCAATGTGGCCTATGAGACCACAACTCCCATCAACACTGCTCATAATGTGGCTTATGAAACTCATAAAATTCAGTCCACCTGATGTTGTCCCCATTTTATAGTGTTCTTGTATACCACCACCAGTATTAGCTATTGAGTCATCGACAGTGATCTTGGAACCAGATGAGCCTGACTCTGTTGGCGTGTTCTGTTGTAAGTAAATGGACCTGTAACATTTTTTCTAAGGCACGAACACATGTGCTTTTGAAAGCACAGCAGTACACCTTCTCAAGCTCCGGAATAGCACTCAACAATTCAGTGGTTTACAGTGCAATACCGTCGTTTTTAAAAATTATTTCCGGCTCCATTTCCGACGGCCGGGCGGTGGAGGAGGTGCGCATGCGTAGATCCATCTTCTCTGGGCGAGGCCGGAGCACGCGCGCGATGAGGTCGTCACTAAGTGTTGTCGCAGTGTTGATCATCAGTTCTTCTATTCCCCTCGTTGCTCAAGGTAAGCACGAGCTGCACTCATTCACTCCTGACACCCACACATGAAAGTTAGCTGCCATCTCCCTGTAATTTCTTTCTACACCAGAGATTCTCCGTGCTCCTGAGAGTACAACTGTCTTTTTAAACCAACCGGCAGTTTTTACATGTGAGACAAGAGGTGGTATCACTCTGTGGAGAGTCAATGGAACACAGCGAGAGCTCCTTTTGCCTGAAATACGTAGTGACCTGGTTATCTCAGAAGTGAGTTCTGAAGGTGTTGTGATGCAGACTCTGACCATCCCAGCCAGAGCCCAGTACAATGGAACTAGAGTTCAGTGTCTGTCTATAACATTTGGTGGCCCCTTTGTGGAGAGTGACAATGCCACATTGACCATTCAAGGTATTAGCTGAAAA